CCTTGGAAGTCACAAGTACTCTCTCCTACTTCTCTTAATCTAACTCGAATTCCTGAAGAGTAGGCACCACTACACGAGTTTAGATTATATTCTAACATTGATAGGAATTATTCTCTTAACTTTGCTATTTGCAAAGGACTGTATGCAGTCACCCCTAAAACTAGGTCTACACTGCACAAGCTCTCTATTTCTGTTGCTCTCTGTCTAATCATACTTCTAATTGCCCTTCTTATCTATATTCATTTATTTTTGAGACGGAGTTTCGCTCTTGTTACCCAGGCCGGAGTGCAATGGCACGATCTCGGCTCACCGCAACCTCTGCCTCTCGGGTCCAAGCGATTTTCCTGCCTCAGCCTTCCAAGTAGCTGGGACTACAGGCGTGTGCCACCACGCTCGGTTAATTTTGTATTTTTAGTGGAGACAGGGTTTCATCATGTTGGTCCAGCCGGTCTCAAACTCCTGACCTCAACTGAGCCACCTAGCTAGGCCTCTCAAAGTGCTGGGATTACAGGCGTGAGCCACACACAGCACCCGGCTCCTCTCCCGCTTTTTCTTTATTTTCATTTTTGCTGTCTCTTGGCAAATCCCTCACCCATTCTCTACTTTGCCGTCTGTTATGGGTCTTTCTCGTTTTTTTCTCCTCTGTCTCAGATGTTCTACCACTCTCTCTCTGTCTCCCGATCCCTTTGGCCCACACAATCAATCACAAGAGTGTTTGGAGTAGGACACCTGCATCCGGGAGGAGCGCATTTTCCAGGGACTGGAGGTGGGCAGGCAAGAACACCCCGTGTCACAGGACAGGCCCGGGGCACCTCCTCCACGCCAGCTCAGGGGATGCAGTCACTGTGGAGGGGAGACCTGGGGAGCAGCAGGGCCCGGCACGAGGAGGGAGGTGTGGGGGCGACGGCGCCTAAAGACAACAGTGGGGTCTGCAGGACCCCGGGACCACGCAGAGGGCCGCAGCGCTGCGCTCCAGGGGCCGACAGGGGCGAGGGTGGTAGGTACCCAGGGCGAGGATCCACCTCTAGGGTGAGAATTTCAAAAAGCGCGGGGCGGGAAGAGTCAGAAAAAGGTTTTGAGCAGGAAAACTACACAACTGGAAGTCTACAGACTTTATAAAGTCTTTTATATAGACACTTTATAGAAGTGTCCTACAGCTGAAAGACCGGGAACGGGACGAGCCTCAATGAGACTTTCAACCCCAAAAAAAGCGACCCCCGGACTCTCACGGCGACGTCTCAATTTGCACTGGGTGAAAATAGCAGCGACAATGTTCAGGTCTGTGGGAACCCCACGTCCCAGGTACAGAAGCGCCAGACCTGGGAAGAGCAGACTTAATACCGGACAAAGCAAAACTTACCCGCCACGGTGGGACCTTCACTTCGCGCGACCCGCTTCCGGATTTGCGAAATCCCGCAGGACGGAAGCCAGACCTGGGCGAGAACCTCGAGGAGTGGGCGGGGCCTGGGCAAGAGCCTCGATGGGTGGGCGGACCCTGGGAGAGACCCGCGAGGAGTGGGCGGGGCCTGGGCAAGAGCCTCGAGGGGTGGGCGGGCCCTGGGAGAGACCCTCGAGGGGTGGGCGGGGCCTGAGCAAGAGCCTCGAGGGGTGGACGGGCCCTGGGCGAGACCCTCGAGGGGTGGGCGGGGCCTGGGCGAGACCCTCGAGGGGTGGGCGGAGCCTGGGCGAGACCCTCTAGGAGGTGGGCGGGGCCTGGGCGAGGACGCAAGGCGGAGAGACCTCGCCCTTCATAACACCTGCAGAGGGCGGGGCCGGGACCTGTGCATCTTTCAGCCTGGCTCCCAGCTCCTTTCTCAGATTTTCGAGGCGAAACCGACCAGGAAGGCTAAGGCATAATCCAAAAGCCGTGGAATTGTTTTTTTTGACAATTCCTGGAAGCAGCAAAGTAGCAAAGTAACACTCCGTCCTGCAGGGCTTTCTTCCTCGTCTCTCTCAAACTTTTTTTTTTTTTTGAGACGGAGTTTCACTCTTGTTACCCGGGCTGGAGGGCAGTGGCGCGATCTCGGCTCACCGCAACCTCCGCCTCCTGGGTTCAGGCAATTCTCCTGCCTCAGCCTCCTGAGTAGCTGGGATTACAGGCACACGCCACCATGCCCAGCTAATTTTTTGTATTTTTCGTAGAGACGGGGTTTCACCATGTTGACCAGGATGGTCTCGATCTCTTGACCTCGTGATCCACCCGCCTCGGCCTCCCAAAGTGCTGGGATTACAGGCTTGAGCCACCGCGCCCAGCCCGATTTTTGCATTTTTAGTAGAGACGGGGTTTCACCATGTTGACCAGGTTGGTCTCCATCTCTTGACCTCGTGATTCACCTGCCTCGGCCTCCCAAAGTGCTGGGATTACAGGCGTGAGCCACTGCACCCGGCCATTTACAAATGTTCTAAATAAATATTCTGAGAAAAGAGACAAAAGAAAAATTTTTCCTTTATTTTCAAAGGAGAAATTATGCCTCTCATTTATTTGCTTGAGATAGGATCTAGCTCTGTCACCCAAGCTGCAGTGCAGTGGGGAAATCAGGAATCACTGCGGCATCGAATTCCCTGGTTCAAGCCATCCTCCCACTTGACCAACCTGAGTAGCTGGGACCATAGGTGTGCACCACCACAGTTGCCCATTTTTTTTTTTTTTTAATTTTTAGCAGACAGGAGGTCCCCCTGTTGCCCAGGCTAGTCTTGAAACCCTAGGTTCATGGGAACCACATTCCTTAGCATCTGACAGCACTGGAATTTCAGGCCTGAGCCACTGCATCTGATTGTATCATATATTTAATGTTTCTCCTTGTTTCAATTTTAGCAGAATTTGTATTCCTCTCATAGAGGCTCTTTTCAAACTCTTGTCATCCTTCTGAGTGCCTCAAACTACAGCCTGTTCAGACATGTTATAACAAGTTTGCACTAGTCTGTTTTGGTGCAAAAAGTGTGAAATTCATGCACAAATTGTTCATATGTATTCTTCCATAAACGTCTTGAAGATCGTTGTACTAGCAAACTGTATTCAAGGGAATATAAAAAGGAATTGTACATATTCAAGTTCTGCTTATTCATGGGATGCAAGGTTGGTTCAATGTGCTCAAATCAATGTAATATGCCATCTGCACAGAATGACAGATTAAAAACTACATTATCTCAATAGACCAAGAAAAATCATTTAACAAAATTCAACATTTATCCTTCATAAAACTCCTAAGCAAAACAGGTAGATAAAAAATTTACCTCAAAAATATAAAGACCATGGCCGGGCGCGGTGGCTCAAGCCTGTAATCCCAGCACTTTGGGATGCCGAGGTGGGCGGATCACGAGGTCAAGAGATGGAGACCATCCTGGTCAACATGGTGAAACCCCCCGCCTCTACTAAAAATACAAAAAATTTAGCTGGGCATGGTGGCACGTGCCTGTAATCCCAGCTACTCAGGAGGCTGAGGCAGGAGAATTGCCTGAACCCAGGAGGCGGAGGTTGCTGTGAGCCGAGATCGTGCCATTGCACTCCAGCCCGGGTAACAAGAGCGAAACTCCGTCTCAAAAAAATATATATATAAAAAAAAATATATATAAATATATATAAATATATATATATAAATATATATATATATATATATAGAGAGAGAGAGAGAGAGAGAGAGACCATCCATGAAGTAACCACAGTGAAATAACCAACAACGGAAAATGAAATGCTTTTCCTATTGAATCTCACATGATGCAAAAATGCTCTCACCCCTTCTATTCAAGAAATACTAGCTGTCCTAGCCAGAGCAATTAAATAGAAAAAAAAAAAAAAACTCATCCAAATCAGAAAGAACTAAAATTATATTTGTCAGGGCCAAGTGAGGTGACTCACACCTGTAATCTCAGGACTTTGGGAGGCCAAGGCAGGTGGACCACGAGGATAAGAGATTAAAGACCATCCTGGCCAACATGGTGAAACCCTGTCTCTACTCAAATACAAAAAAAAAAATTAGTTGTGTGTGGTGGCTCAAGCCTGTATTCCCAGCTACTCAGGAGGCTAAAACAGGAGAACTGCTTGAACACAGGAGTCGGAGGTTGCAGTGAGCAGAAACTGTGCCATGGCACTCCAGGCTGGTGACAGAACAACTCTGTCTAAAAAAAAAAATGTGTGTGTGTGTGTGTATGTGTGTGTGTGCAGATGACATGACTTTCTATGTAGAAAATCACTCGCTGGACACAGTGGCTTACCCTTGTAATCCCAGCATTATGGGAGGCTAAAATGGGAGGATCACCTGAAGTTAGGAGTTCAAAACCAACATGGTCAACATGGTAAAACTCCATCTCTACTAAAAATACAAAAAAAGTAGAAGGCATGGTAGGGGGTACCTATAATTCCAGTTACTCAGGAAGCTGAGGTAGGTGAAACACTTAACTCAGGAGACCGAGGTTGCAGTGAGCCAAGCTAACACCATTGCACTCAAGCTCGAGCGACAAGAGTGACGTTGCCTCTCGGCCGGGCACGGTGGCTCACGCCTGTCATCCTAGCACTTTGGGAGGTGGAGGTGGGTGGATCACCTGAGGTCAGGAGTTCAAGACCAGCCTGGCCATCATTGTGAAACCCCATCTTAGGAAACAAAAAAAAAAGTTTTTAATTAAAAAAAAAAAGTGACACTGCCTCTCAAAAAAAAAAAAAAAAAAAAAAAAAGAGAAAGAAAGAAAAGAAGAAAGAAAAGAAAGCAAGAAAAGAAAATCACAAAGAATCAACCCAAATATTATTGGTACAATAAACATATTTAGTGTAATTGCAGAATACAAAGTTAGCACTTAAAATTAGCTGAATTTCCATAAGATGATCAACAATTTTAAAAGAAAATTAAAAACACACTTCTATTTGCTGGAGAACTTAAAGAAGAAATACTTAGGAGTAAATGTAAAAAGGTGAGAAGTTTGTACCATGAAATCTACAAACATTGATCAAAATGATTAAAAACATATATAGAGAATACAACCCATACTGATGGATTGGAGAAATATGATTAAATGGCTATAAAACCCAATGTGATTTAGATTCAACACAATACCCATAAAAATCTCCTTCAGTTTTCTAAAGAATCAAAAAACAGGCTTGGAAAAGTGGCTTACAGCTGTTGCCCAGGCTGGTCTCTCAACTCAAGTGATCCGTCTTTGCCTCCCAAAGTGCTCAGAACACAGACGTGAGCCACCCCACCCAGCCCAATCCTCTTAAACACTTTAATACCAATTAATGCTTGAACTCAATGTTAAGTCAGCTCAAACTCAAGTCAATGCTGAACTGACTCTAATGTCAATTAATGCTTGATGGTTTGATATAGTCATTGCACCTTAGAACATTGTCTCAAAAATGAATTTTTCAATGTTCTGCAAGGAGTGACCTCTGCCTGAAGACCTTGTGACACTTAGGACACTTGTAAGATTTCTGTCCAGTATGGATTCTCTAATATCTAATAAGGTGTGAATGTGAAATGAAGGCTTTGCCCCAATTATTACACTTGTGAGGTTTCTGCGTGAATTTTTCCATTTTGCATAAGACGAAAATTGACTGAAGACCTTGCCAGTTGTGACATTTGTAAGGGGTCTCTCGAGCATGAGTTTGCCAATGAACTGAAAGGTATGAACAATGTCTAAAAAATTTGCCAAATTGATTACACTTGCAAGAATCCATTGATTATGGATTCTCCAATGATTTGCATTGGCGAATGCAAATTGGTTGTTTACTGAAGACTTGGTGGCAATCATTACATTAGTAAATTTTCCCTATACCATGGATTGTTTCATGGTGATTAGGTGTTGACTGACCACTAAAGGCGTTGTCACATTCGTTAAACTTGTTTCTCTCTAGTGTGGATTCTAGTATGTTCTGCCAGGTGTGAATCACGCCCAAAAGCCTTGTCACAAACCTTACATTTGTAAGGTTTCACTCCAGTATGAATTTTTCTATGTCTTTCAAGGTTTGATTTGCGACTGAAAGCTTTGTCACATTCTTCACATTTGTAAGGTTTCTCTCCAGTATGAATTCTCCTATGTCTTTTAAGACTTGATTTGCGACTGTAAACTTTGTTGCATTCTTCACATTTGTAAGGTTTCTCTCCAGTATGAAGTCTATGATGACGTACAAGGTGTGCTTGTTGATTAAAAACTTTGCCACATTCATTACACTTGTAAGGTTTCTCTCCAGTATGAAGTCTATGATGACGTGCAAGGTTTGCTTGTTGATTAAAAACCTTGCCACATTCGTTACACTTGTAAGGTTTCTCTCCAGTATGTACTGCCTTATGAATCATAAGGGCTGAATTGTGACGGAAGGTCTTGCCACACTCATTACACTTGTAAGGTTTCTCTCCAGTATGAAGTCTATGGTGGCATAGAAGAGATGACATCTGACTGAAGGTCTTGCCACACTCATTACACTTGTAAGGTTTCTCTCCGGTATGAATTCTACGATGACAAACAAGGTTTGCTTGTTGATTAAAAACCTTGCCACACTCATTACACTTGTAAGGTTTCTCTCCAGTATGAATTGCCTTATGAATTACAAGGGCTGAATTATGACGGAAAGTCTTGCCACACTCATTACACCTGTAAGGTTTCTCTCCAGTACGAAGTCTATGATGGCATGTATGCGATGACATTTGACTAAAGGTCTTGCCACATTCATTACACTTGTAAGGTTTCTCTCCAGTATGAAGTCTACGATGGCATACAAGGGATGACATCTGACTGAAGGTCTTGCCACATTCATTACACTTGTAAGGTTTCTCTCCAGTATGAATTCTTCTATGTCTTTCAAGGTTTGATTTGCAACTAAAAACTGCATCACATTCTTCACATTTGTAAGGTCTCTCTCCAGTATGAGTTCGCCGATGAACTGCAAGGTATGAACAATGTCTGAAAAATTTGCCACATTTATTACACTTGTAAGATCGTTCTTTATTATGGATTCTCCAATGCCTTGCAATGGTTGTAGCATTACTGAAGACGTGATGACAATCATTACATCTGTAGAGTTTCCCTATACCATGGGTTGACTGATGGTAAGCAAGTGTTGACTGCCCACGAAAGGCTTTGCCACACTCATTACACTTGTAAGGTTTCTCTCCAGTGTGAATTCTAGTATGTTGTGTCAGGTGTGAATCACGCCCGAAAGCCTTGTCACAAACCTTACATTTGTATGGTTTCTCTCCAGTATGAATTATTTTATGTTTTTCAAGGTCTGATTTGCGACTAAAAACTTTGTCACATTCTTCACATTTGTAAAGGTTCTCTCCAGTATGAAGTCTACAATGGTACACAAAAGATGATTTCTGACTGAAGGTTTTGCCACACTCCTTACACCTGTGAGGTTTCTTTCCAGTATGAATTGCCATATGAATTACAAGGGCTGAATTTCGACCAAAGGTCTTGCCACACTCATTACACTTGTAAGGTTTCTCTCCAGTATGAAGTCTACAATGGCGTGTAAGGGCTGACTTCTGACTGAAGATCTTGCCGCACTCATTACACTTGTAAGATTTCTCACGAGTGTGACATCTGTGATGGCATGCAAGGTATCGCTTCTGATTAAAGACCTTGCCACATACATCACATTCATATTGTTTCTCTTCTAAATAGATTCTCTGATGTTTCCTCAAGAGAGAGCTACAGTTAAAGGCTTTTTTCTCATTACATTGTAAAGATACTTCTCTCATGTGACCTTCCTGTTTTTGAGTGAGTAATGAAGAATGGAGGAAATTGTTGTCATAGTTATTAGAAGTATGGGTTTGGGGCCTACAAGAAGTTATTTTGGACGTTGAAACTGAGAAAACATCATTGATAGATTTCTCAACTTGATTACCAAATTTCCCTTTCATCTGAAATATGTGCAGTTCAGGCAAATGCGAATGAAAGCTTAATCCAAGTTGATCTTTAATAGGCTTGTTGCCAGCATGCCTTTCATCATATTGGTCTGTACCACAAGGAAACTTTTCAATTTTTCTCATGAGTGCCTCATGGCTATTTCTAAACTCAAAATCATGAATATCGTTCTCAATTTCCTGGAAGCAAAAATCTCCAATGTGATGACTTTCACGTCTATCTAATATCCCTCCGTGGAACACTTCCGTATCACCTTGTGCTGTTGAAAAGAGCTCCTTCATCTTGTATTTGGGAGAGATATCTACAAAATACAAACACAAATAGGTTTCCAATTAAATACAAATGGTAAATAATACTAAAATGTATAAATATCACACACAAAAAGGAACACAAAAGAAGTGAGACTCTTCAATAAATAAAGGGTGATTACATGGACTTCAAGCCATGTCTACTGAAGCCTATTTCCAGTATCACAAAACACTGACAGGGGACAAACATGTGGAAGCCTAAAAGAGGAAGTATTTTGTACAGTGACCCCAAAGTGTATAACACTTTGCAAAAAATATATACTGTCACATCAATGAAGAGAAAAAGATATATTCTTAATATTTATAGCATATTTACTGCATACAAATGAATGCTAAAGAACCACACATAACTATATTGATAAATAATCCACAATGAGCTCATGTAAAGATAACCAAAATCCAATGGAAATTCTATATTGTCAATGATAGCACTGCAATGGCGTGATACTGGCTCACTGCAACTTCTGCCTCCCAACTTCAAGCGACTCTCCTGCCTCAGTCTCTTGACTACCTGGGATTAGAGGCACCCACGACCACACCAAGCTAATTCTGTATTTTTAGTAGAGATGGAGTTTCATCATGTTAGCCAGGCTAGTTCTGAACTCCTGACCTCAGGTGATCGGCCCGCCTCAGCTTCCCAAAGTGCTGAGATTATAGGCATGAACACCTCCACCAGGCCAGGTTATGGAAATTTTTTTTTTTTTTTTTTTTTTTTTTTTTTTTTAAGACGGAGTTTCACTCTTGTTACCCAGGCTGGAGTGCAATGGCGCGATCTCGGCTCACCGCAACCTCCGCCTCCTGGGTTCAGGCAATTCTCCTGCCTCAGCCTCCCGAGTAGCTGGGATTACAGGCACGTGCCACCATGCCCAGCTAATTTTTTGTATTTTTAGTAGAGACGGGGTTTCACCATGTTGACCAGGATGGTCTCGATCTCTTGACCTCGTGATCCACCCGCCTGGGCCTCCCAAAGTGCTGGGATTATAGGCTTCAGTGACCACGCCCGGCTAGGTTATGGAAATTTTAAGTTTCATTAACTTCCCCCAAATATCTATACAACATGCTTCAGTTCTGCATACTGAAAGGAATGGACACTAACGTGATTGATATATTCACATTGTAATCGTGCTTAAACCACTTACATGTTTACTAAACACTGAAAGACAAACTATTTTAAATAATAACAGCTGGCCGTGGTGGCTCAAGCCTGTAATCCCAGCACTTTGGGAGGCCGAGGCGGGTGGATCACGAGGTCAAGAGATCGAGACTATCCTGGTCAACAAGGTGAAACCCCGTCTCTACTAAAAATAAAAAAAATGAGCTGGGCATGGTGGTGCGTGCCTGTAATCCCAGCTACTCGGGAGGCTGAGGCAGGAGAATTGCCTGAACCCAGGAGGCGGAGGTTGAGGTGAGCCGAGATCGCGCCATTGCACTCCAGCCTGCGTAACAAGAGCGAAACTCCATCTCAAAAAAAAAATAATAATAATAATAATAATAATAACAATGGCTGGGCACAGAGGTTCATGCCTGTAATCCCAGCACTTTGACAATCAGAGGAAGGCGGGTCACTTGAGATCAGGAGTTCGAGTCCAGCCTCACCAACATGGTGTAACCTCATCTCTACAAAACACACCAAAATTAGCTGGGGGGGGGGTGGTGGTGGGTGCCTGTAGTTTCAGCTACTCAGGAAGCTGGGGCATAAAAACCATGCGAGCCTGGCAGGCGGAGGCTGTGGTTAGCCATGATTGCACCACTGCTCTTAGCCTGAGTGACAGAGCAAGACTCCACCTCAAAGACGAATAAATAAAATTTAAAAAAACGTAAATGAGAAGGGAATCAAAGCATGTCTACACAAAAAAAGCAATGAAACACAAAAAGCATCATATGAGGAAGAACAAAAAAAAAATCCTACAAGAATTACAGATAACATGTAACAGAAAGGCAACGGTAAGGTCTTCTCCGTCAGTAATACTTCAAATGTAAATACTTAACTCTGCACTCAGAAGAAAAAGACTGGCTGAATCAACAGGAGCCAACTATGTGTTGTCCACGAAGACTCGTATTAGCCCTAAGGACACACATATGCTACAATTTAAAAAATAAAAACCAACAATTAGCCAGGTGGGATGGCTCACGCCTGTAATCCTAGCACTTTGGGAGGCTGAGGTGGGTGGATCACCTGAGGTCAGGAGTTCAAAAACAGCCTGGCCAACATGGTGAAACCCCATCTTTAAAAAAAAAAAAAGGCCGGGCGCGGTGGCTCAAGCCTGTAATCCCAGCACTTTGGGATGCAGAGGCGGGTGGATCATGAGGTCAGGAGATTGAGACCATCCTGGTCACATGGTGAAACCCCGTCTCTACTAAAAATACAAAAAAGTAGCTGGGCATGGTGGCGCGTGCCTGTAATCCCAGCTACTCAGGAGGCTGAGGCAGGAGAATTGCCTGAATCCAGGAGGCAGAGGTTGCGGTGAGCCGAGATCGCACCATTGCACTCCAGCCTGGGTAACAAGAGTGAAACTCCGCCTCAAAAATAAAAACAAAAACAAAACACCAATAATTAAGTATGGGGGTTGAGGCCTGTCATTGCAGGTACTCAGGAGGCTGAGTAGGATCTCTTGAGCCAAGGAGATCAAGACCAAGTTGAACAACACAGCAAGACACTGTATCTACAATAAAAAAAAAAAAACAAACAAAAACATTAGCCCACCATGGTGGCATGCACCTGTACCAGCTACCCAGGGAGGCTGAGGTGAGATCACCGAGCCCAGGAATTCAAGGTTGCAGTGAGCCACGATGACACCATTGCACTCCACCCTGGGTGACAGAGCTACACACTGTATCTAAAAAAAATTTTTTAATAGAAAGTAACAGAAAAGATAAAACATAATATCTCAAGCAATTGTCATCCAGAGAGAGCAGAGCTGGCAATACTAAACTATGTTTTAACTCAAAACTATTTTACTGGAGACAAGAAAGGACATTATATCATGATAATAGGGTCAATTCACCATTAATGTACAAGAACTAGAGATACATATGCATGAATATCAGAGTTCCATATTTAAAGCCAATGTTTACAGAATCAAATAAATTGCTCCACTGTAATACTAGATGATTTCAACATACAACTTTCAATAATGGAAAAAAACAACAAGAGAGCTGACCAATAAAAAAGCAGAGGGAGGCCGGGTGCGTGGCTCATGCCTGTAATCCCAGCACTATGGAAGGCTTAAGCTTGTGGATCACTTCAGGTCAGAAGTTTGAGACCAGTCTGGCCAACAGAGTAAAACTCCATCTCTACTAAAAATACAAAAATTAGCTGGGTGTGGTGGTATACACCTGTAATCGCACTTACTCAGGAGGCTGAGGCAGGAGAATCACTTGAACCCAGTGGGTAGAGGCTGCAGTGAGCTCAGGTCGCACCACTGCACGCCAGTCTGAGTGACGGAACGAGACTCCATCACACACACAAAAAAGAAACTGATTATTAAATCTATAAAATCCAAAATCATGTGTAATATATAGAAATGTATGAGATGAAAGTAGCAGTGGCTTAAACAAATAACGGTGAACTTCAAACCAGAGGCATCTTTCCAGTGAGCTATACTTCCAAGAGGACCTGAGGATGCAATATATGGTCCTTCTATTGACTGTCTTTCCCACCCAGCTGAGTAACCCTCTCAGAAAAATCTAGCTATTCCTCTGTGACATACACTAGTAGTGTGGGTGAAGCGTAACTGAAGAATGGCTGAGGAACCTTGTGATATAAGGAGAAATGCATATATTGGTCTCTTCCCTGGTTCCTGACACAGAGCTCCGAAGACCTTGGGATGTCCCAGGTGATGGGAGGGTGATTTATCCTAATGAGGCAACCTCTGAGGTCTCCTGGATGGGGCTGATCACCAGCAAGATCAGGCCAGGCTTAGAAGCATGGAACAGTCACTGCCATCCACTATCCTCCAGGATGGGAGAGGGGCTGGAGGCTGAGTTAATAGCATCATGACTACATGGTGAAGCCTCCAGGCAAATACGTGAACTGTGTGGGACGAGAGCTTCCAAAGGCTGAACAGACGCAGATGCCTGGGGCATGGCACACCCGTGAATCTCCTCATGGTCCTTGTGTGGAGCACAGCTCACTGCAGAGATGCCTCTGGTTTTAAGTTCACTGTTATTTGTTTAAGCTACTTCTACATTCAATCAATACGTTTTTAATATTACACATGATCTTGGATTTTACTGATTTAATAATCATATATATATATTTTTTTTAAGATGGGGTTTCACCATGTTGGTCAGGCTGGTCTTGAACTCCCTACCTCAGGTGATCCGCCAGCCTTGGCCTCCAAAGTGCTTGGATTATGGGCATGAGCCACCACACCCGGTCTCTATTTTTTTTTTTTTTTTTTTTTGAGATGGAGTTTTCCTCTTTCACGAGGCTGAAGTGCAGTGGCGTGATGTTGGCTCACTGCAACCTTCACTTCCCAGGTTCAAGTGATTCTCCCACCTCAGCCTCCAGAGTAGCTAGGACTACAGGTGTGTGGCATCATGCTCAACTAATTTTTGTATTTTTAGTAGAGACAGGGTTTCACGCTGCTGGCCAGGCTGGTCTCGAATCCCTGACCTCATGATTCACCTGGCCTCCCAACGTGCTGGGATTACAAGCATGAGCCACTGAGTACGGCTCACTTTCCTATTTTTTATGATCGTCTTTGTGTTCTTTGTTACATATCAATAATGTGTGGAACTGTTTTTTTTTTTTTTTTTTTGAGACGGAGTTTCGCTCGTTACCCAGGCTGGAGTGCAATGGCGCGATCTCGGCTCACCGCAACCTCTGCCTCCTGGGTTCAGGCAATTCTCCTGCCTCAGCTTTCCTGAGTAGCTGGGATTACAGGCATGCGCCACCATGCCCAGCTAATTTTTTGTATTTTTAGTAGAGACAGGGTTTCACCATGTTGACCAGGACGGTCTCGATCTCTTGACCTCGTGATCCACCCGCCTCGGCCTCCCAAAGTGCTGGGATTACAGGCTTGAGCCACCGCGCCCGGCCTGGAACTGTTATATCAGAGAATGACTATTCATTTACAGTTTAGTGCCTCACTCTGTGAATCTTCTCATCTGGCTATCCCTCTGTGTCCTGTGAAACATTCTTTATCATGAACCTAAGAAGGTGTTTCACTGAGTTTTGTGAGCCGCCCTAGCAAAGCAATGAAACCCAAGAAAGGGGTTGCGGGAGCCCACCTTATAGCTGGTTGGTCAGAGAAACATGTGACAATCTACACCTGCAACTGGCATCTGAGGCCGGGGGCCGCCCTCGCTAGCCTGGGAACTCAACCCTTCACCTGTGAGATCTGACTCTAACTCCAGGTAGACAGTGTCAGAAGTGAATTAAACCCCAAGAAATTGAGTTTGTGTCCATTCAAGATTTGGATGTGGTTGGGAAGAAATCCACTTACGCTGATGATCAGAATTGAGGCATTCTGTGCAAGGTGGTATGTGAGAGTAGGGAAAGCATTTCTGATTTTTTTTGTGTGTGTTGGTGGGTGACAGAGTCTTGCTCTGTCATCCAGGCTGGAGTGCGGGGGTGAAATTTTACCTCATTACCACCTCTGGCTCTCAGGTTCAAGAGATTCTCCTGCCTCAGTCTCCCAAGTAGCTGGAATTAAAGGCACACATCATCACACCCAGCTAATTTTTGCATTTTCATTAGGGATGGGATATCACCATGTTGGCCAGGCTGGTATCACACTCCCAACCTAAAGTGATCCACCCTTCTCAAAGTGCTGAGATTACAGGTGTGAGCCGCTGTATGTGGCCTTTTTTTTTTTTTCCCCAAATAGACAAGTAGACGATTTAAACAAGCAGAGAAAGCTCTGGGCATTGTTATGGGCCCCAGATGCAAAAAAGGAACAGCCCATGTTTTCCATCTCCTGATTAGGTGTTGCAAGCAGAGGAAATGGGAAGGAACCTGAATAGGTAAAGGGACAGGTGTCTGGAGGCCTCAGCTCTGAGCTATAGGGACAGAGAATGGAGCATCAGATGGAATCAAGTACAGAGGAGACCACAGTGGGAAGAGACCCTTTGACAGCCCTCCCTCTGCTGCAGAGGCAAGAAACCAAAGAGGTCACAGAAGCCAGATGACAGGGTGCTACCCATCAGGATAAAGACTCTGCCTTTGTCTCTGAGCTGCAGCACCACTAGAACGCCCAAAGATCAAACTACTGCACATCTAAAGAGCAGAGGGGCCGGGTGCAGTGGCACACACCTACGATCCCAGCACTTTGGGAGGTCCAGGTGGGCAGATCACTTGAGGTCCGGAGTACGAGACCAGCCTGGCCCACATAGTGAAACCTTGTCTCTGCTAAAAATACAAAAATTAGCCAGGTGTGGCGGTGGTGCACCCCTGTAGTCCCAGCTACCTGAAAGGCTTAGGCAGGAGAATCATGTGAACCCAGGCGGCAGAGGTTGCAGTGAACTATTGTGCCACTGCACTCCAGCCTAGGCAAAAGAGCAAGATGTCATCTCAAAAATAAATAAATAAATAGCAAACAGAAGGACAAGTAGGGACAAAGAAAGATGTCCACTCAGAGAGCTCAGAATTTAAGCGTTCCTTTTCCCACAGAATTCTCCTGCTTGCACAGTTTCCTCATTCACTATTTATTTATGTATTTAGTATATTTATTTATTATTATATAAGTTATTATATATTATATTATATATTATATTATATATTATATATTATTATATATATATATAAGTTCTGGGGAACGCGTGCAGAACAAGCAGGTTTGTGACGTAGGTATCCACGTACCATAGTCCTTTGCAGCACCCATCACCCTGTCATCTACATTAGGTATTGCTCCTAATGCTATCCCTCCCCTAGTCCCCCACTCCCTGCTATCCCTCCCCTAGTGTGTGACATTTCCCTCCCTGTGTCCATGTGTTCTCACTGTCCAACACTCACTTATGAATGAGAACATGCAGTGTTTGATTTTCTGTTCTTGTGTCAGTTTGCTGAAAATGATGGTTTCCAGCTTTATCCAGGTCCCTGCAAAGGACATAAACTCATCCTTTTTTACGGCCACACATCCTGACACAGTATTTGAAGGTGTAGCTTCCACTCTGCCCATATGAGCTCTCACTGTGTTTACACCTGTAATATATCCCACCCATCTAGATTTTTCTGCTATTTTTACTTGACTCTCCACAGTCCAGGGCTCCTTCCCTGGCTTCATCATGGAGGCAACAGGTCAGAAAGAGACTCTTGCTTGTAAAAAGAAAGAAACATGATGTGCTCGAGCTTTTCTAGCGTCCCAGCCCTATGTTTCAGTAGGAAAGAAGACATTCCAGATGGATCGAGGAAAATATTTCACACTCCTCCACTGACTGCCTCCTTCAGAATGCTTAGAGAGCATTGTAATATGTGGAAACCAAGCTTCTTTCTAGGAACTACTGAATAAAATGCACAGGAGTAAAAGGGAAACTGGATATCTTTAAAGTCTGCCAGAAGGTTTTGTTTTTGTATTTTTGAGACAGAGTCTTGCTCTGTAGCTCGGGCTGGGGTGCAGTGGCGTGATCTAGTCTCACTGCAACCTTTACCTCCCAGGTTCAAGTGATTCTGCTTCCTCAGCCTTTCTAGTATCTAGAATTACTGGAGGGCACCACCATATCTGGCTAATTTTTGCATTTTTGGTAGAGACAGGGTTTAGCCATGTTGGCCAGGCTGGTCTTGAACTAATGAACTGAAGCAATGCACAAGCCTCAGCCTCCCAGAGTGCTGGGATTACAGGCGCCAGTCACTGCACCTGGCCTGCCATCAGGTTTTTGCCTACTTTACTTCTGGAAACCCCCATGAGGTATGATGAACGCACAACATCTAAACTAAGGGACAGTTAAAGTCCAGATGCTGCCTCATGAAGCTTTTCATTTCAAAATGAATACGGCTTCCATTTTAGTCCAGCAAGGACGCGGCTCCAAAGAGGCAACAAGGGAAAATACAAACACACGCAAGGGCATGTCCCCGCTTCTGGAGGGAAGTTGTCCTCACCCAGGGAGACCAGGTTCCTGTAGTTCTCCAGCATCACGTCCCTGTATAAAGTCCTCTGAGCAGGGTCCAGGCATCTCCACTCCTCTGGAGAGAATTCTATGGTCACATCCCTGAATGTCAACGAACCCTGAAATAAAAACACATTTCAACAAAATGGTTATGGGAGGACTTCTGATCTTTACAGAGAAAGAGAAGATCAGAGAGGTGAAAGCACGGATGTAATTGTAGGGAATGTTCTGACAAATCGAGAAAGGGATTTTTCACCACATTATGGCTTCCCGGTTGTGTTTATTATACTTTGTGAAGAGGTCATGATTCCCTCTTGGTATGGATTTCTTGTGTTTGTGGATAATACAAGAAATACACACAGCAGCTATTAAATGTGTTCAAAGAAAAAAGAAATACACAGCCGGGCGTGGTGGCTCAAGCCTGTAATCCCAGCACTTTGGGAGGCTGAGGCGGGTGGATCACGAGGTCGAGAGATCGAGACCATCCTGGTCAACATGGTGAAACCCCGTCTCTACTAAAAATACAAAAAATTAGCTGAGCATGGTGGCTCGTGTCCGTAATCCCAGCTACTCAGGAGGCTGAGGCAGGAGAATTGCCTGAACCCAGGAGGTGGAGGTTGCGGTGAGCCGAGATCGTGCCATTGCACTCCAGCCTGGGTAACAAGGGCGAAACTCCGTCTCAAAAAAAAAAAAAAAAAAAATACACAAACCAAAAAATTAACCCAACTTTTTCACTATAGAAATGTTTGAAACTTTTATTGACACACCAAGTAACATTGTGTATCTACATGAGACAGAACATGAATGATGTTTTCAGAAATGACCACGTCCACAGTGAAAAATCAGAAATTAATATTCAATTGGACGTGATGGCACATGGCTGTAATCCCAGCACTTTGGAAGGCCATGCTGGGTGGATCACCTGAGCTCAGGACTGTAAAGACCAGTATGGCCAACATGGTTGAAACCCTGTTCCTACTAAAAATACAAAAATTGGCCAGTCACAGTGGCTCATGTCTGTAATCCAAGCACTTTGGGAGGCGAAAGTGGGCAGATCACGAGGTCAGAGGTTTGAGACCAGCCTGACCAACATGGTAAAACCCCGTCTCTACTAAAAATACAAAAATTAGTCGGGCATGGCGTCACATACCTGTAATCCCAGCTACTCAGGAGGCTGAGGCAGGAGAATCGCTTGAACCCGGGAAGTGGAGGTTGCAGTGAGCTGAGATCACACCACTCCACTCCAGCCTGAGAAACAGAGCAAGACTCTGTCTCAAAAAACAAAAACAAAAACAAAACAAAAATTAGCCAGGCATGGTGGCGGGCACCTGGAACACCAGCTACTCAGGAGGCTGAGGCATGAGAATCACTTGAACCCAGGAGGTGGAGGTTATAGTGAGTCAAGATTATGCCATTATACTCCAGCTTGCGTGACAAAGGAAAAACTCAGTCTCAAAGAAATAAAAGGTAAACAGCCAGGTTCAGTTGGTCATGCCTGTAATTCCAGCACTTTGGGAGGTCAAGGCCAGCAGATCTTGAGGTCAGGAGTTTGAGACCAGCCTGGCCAACAGGGTAAAACCCTGTCTCTACTAAAAAGACAAAAATTAGCCGGGCGGTGTGGCGGGCACCTATAATTCCAGGTGCTTGGAAGGCTGAGGCAGAGACTTCCTTGAACCCGGGAGGTGGAGGACGCAGTCAGCCAAGATTCTGCCACAGCACTTTAGCCTGGGTGACAAGCAAGACTCACTTCTCGCCGGGCACGGTGGCTCATGCCTGTAATCCAAGCACTTTGGAGGCCAAGGCGGGCGGATTACCTGAGGTCGGGAGTTCAAGACCAGCCTCACCAACATGGAGAAACCCCATCTTTAAAAAAAGATTCCCTTCTCAAAGAAAAAAAAAAAGATACATAAAAAATAGCTATTAGGGGCCGGGCGCGGTGGCTCAAGCCTGTAATCCCAGCACTTTGGGAGGCCGAGGCGGGTGGATCACGAGGTCGAGAGATCGAGACCATCCTGGTCAACGTGGTGAAACCCCGTCTCTACTAAAAATACAAAAAATTAGCTGGGCATGGTGGCGCGTGCCTGTAATCCCAGCTACTCAGGAGGCTGAGGCAGGAGAATTGCCTGAACCCAGGAGGCGGAGGTTGCGGTGAGCCGAGATCGTGCCATTGCACTCCAGCCTGGGTAACAAGAGCGAAACTTCGTCTCAAAAAAAAAATAAAATTAAATTAAAAAAAAAAAAAATAGCTATTAGGAAAGGGGCTTAATACCGAAGTGATGAAATAATCTGTAAAACAAGCCCCGATGACGTGAGTCTACCTATATAACAAACCTTCACACGTAGTATAAAGTTAAAAAATAAATATAAAAGGAAGTTTATCATTGCAGATTTTTTTCTAGAAGTCTCATAAAGATGCAGAAATACATGATTATAAGACCTGCCCTGACACCTGACAGGCAAAGGAGGTACTTTAGAGCCAAGGGGCTAAAGTGCAGCTTTGCTTGAAGCTTTACCACAAAACAAATATGTACATCATGTGGTATTTAAATACAAAAATATTTATCAAATAGTAATTGGTGGGGCTGGGCACAGTGGCCCACACCTGTAATCCCAGCACTCTGGGAGGCTAAGTCAAGTAGATCATCTGAGGTCAGGAGTTTCAGTCCAGCCTGACCAATGTGGTGAAAGCCCATCTCTACTAAAAACACAGAAGAATTAGCTGGGTGTGGTGGCAGGGGCCTATAATGGCAGCTATTTGGGAGACTGAAGTGGGAGAATCACATGAACCGGGGAGGCAGTGGATGCAGTGAGCCGAGATCACACCACTGCACTACAGCCTGAATCACAGAGCAACACTTTCTCTAAAATAATAATAACAGGTAGAATGAGAAAATGGCTCCATCCTTAGGATAAAAATGAAGTACTGCTCCCATATTTAAGAAAATTATGCCGGGCGCAGTGGCTCAAGCCTGTAATCCCAGCACTTTGGGAGGCCGAGGCAGGTGGATCAGGAGGTCAAGAGATCGAGACCATCCTGGTCAACATGGTGAAACCCCGTCTCTACTAAAAATACAAAAAAAATTAGCTGGGCATGGTGGTGCGTGCCTGCAATCCCAGCTACTCAGGAGGCTGAGGCAGGAGAATTGTTTGAACCCAGGAGGCGGAGGTTGCAGTGAGCCGAGATCGCGCCATTGCACTCCAGCCTGGGTAAAAAGAGCGAAACTCCATCACAAAAAAAAAAAAAAAAAAAAAAAAAAATATAACCATTTTTACCAAAAATGCCTGTTTCACAAGCCTCTCCACAGTAACACCAGTTCCATGAGCTTAACGCACTAAGAATGGTTTAATGAATCTCCTGCTGTTATTTAGGTTGGTTTAATATGCTTAAAATAATGATGGAATAGTCGGACACGGTGGCTCAAGCCTGTAATCCCAGCACTTTGGGAGGCCAAGGCGGGTGGATCACGAGGTCAAGAGATCGAGACCATCCTGGTCAACATGGTGAAACCCTGTCTCTACTAAAAATACTAAAAATTAGCTGGGCATGGTGGTGTGTGCCTGTAATCCCAGCTACTCAGGAGGCTGAGGCAGGAGAATTGCCTGAACCCAGGAGGCGGAGGTTGCGGTGAGCCAAGATCACGCCATTGCACTCCAGCCTGGGTAACAAGAGCGAAAACTCCGTCTCAAAAAAAAAAAAAATGATGGAATAAAACACCTTGTATCATTCATGTCTGTCTACAAACTTTCCATTTCAATTAGTAAGATGTTTGGAGTCAGAAACACAGTAACTCACTCAATTACCTAAACATGTAGTATAAAATCAGGCAGAAATGACTTCCCCTTATTGATCTCCATTTCTAGAATTTACCATGTACTTTGTGCACATTAATACGTCACTTCCACATGCAGCTGCTCTACTCCTGGTCTACAGAGAGCTGAGGGTGCATCCAGATGTGGCACCCAGAACAATCCCTGCTGCTCAACAGCCCTGACACCACAGGGCCACACCCCGTCTCCATCCACATCTGGGGTGAGCCCTTCCCAGGACCATGCCCAGTGCAGCCTCTTCCCAAGCTCATGCCACGGGGTCACCAGAGACGGAATCTAAGGGAGATGAGAGGGACTGAGGGAAGGCATGGGTGAGTGCCAGCAAACCTGTCAGGCAGGACGCTTCAGACTCAGAGAAGATTCCCAACTGCAAGCAGGAAGGAGACAGAACAATCCACCAAGATCATCTCACCTGAGGAAGAGCCATCCCTGACTCCTTTGCTTTCCACTTCCTCTTCCGGGTTTCTTCCTCACGTATCAAGAGTCTTTAGAACATTCAATCCTGAATTTTATAAATATGTTGTTTGTTGCTCTGAATCAACACACCTCCTCCCTGTAACACAACAACACATACAAAAGAGACCTCACCCTGAGGAAATACAGTCCCCTCTGCTGCCCACTGCATCAGGGATAATAAACTCCTACAGGCAAACTAAATGAATGTTTGAATCCTTTCTTCAGAATCTGCTCCCCTTCTGGAGAAGCCCCCATACACATACTGCGGCAGCGAGCAGCTGGGCTGAAATGAGCTCCCCTTCAGAGCACAGACCCAGCCCTCATCAAACCCCATGCAGATGCTGGGTGCAGTGGCACCTGTAATCCCAGCACTCTAAGAGGCCAAGGCAGGTGGATCACAAGGTCAGGAATTTGAGACCAGCCTGGGCAACATGGTGAAACCCCATCTCTACAAACAACAGAAAAACTTAGTCAGGCATGGTGGTACATGTCTGTCTATCTGTGGTCTCAGCTACATAGGAGGCTGAAGTGGGAGGTTCACTTGAGCCTAAACGGCAAAGAGTGAAATGAACCAAGACTGGACAAGTGCACTCCAGCCTGTGTTATAAAAGTGAGACTTTATCTTAAAAAAAATAAATAAATAAAGGCCGGGTATGATGGCTCATGCCTGTAATCCCAGCACTTTGGGAGGCCAAGGCAGGCCAACCATGAGATCAGAAGTTTGAGGCCAGCCTGGCCCAGAGATCAGCCTAGCCAATATGGGGAAAACCCATCCCTACTAAAAATACAAAACACAGCTAGTCATGGTGGCGGGTGCCTGTAATCCCAGCTACTTGGGAGGCTGAGGCAGGAGAATCACTTGAACCCAGGAGGTGGAGGTTGTAGAGAGCCAGGATCCTGCCATTGCACTCAAGCCTGGGCAGCAGGGCAAGACTCCAACTCAAAAAAAAAAAAAAAAAAAAACCTTGCTGCTCAATGATAGACATAGAGTCAACTTTAAATATTAATAAAACTCAGGTCAGGCCGGGCGCGGTGGCTCAAGCCTGTAATCCCAGCACTTTGGGAGGCCGAGGCGGGTGGATCACGAGGTCAAGAGATCGAGACTATCCTGATCAACATGGTGAAACCCGGTCTCTACTAAAAATACAAAAAACCAGCTGGGCGTGGTGGCGCGTGCCTGTAATCCCAGCTACTCAGGAGGCTGAGGCAGGAGAATTGCCTGAACCTAGGAGGCAGAGGTTGCAGTGAGCCGAGATCGCGCCATTGCACTCCAGCCTGGGTAACAAGAGCGAAACTCCGTCTCAAAAAAAAAAACAATAACAGAAACTCAGGTCAACTTTTCATCTTAGACCTGGCAGAAATTTTTCATCCTGCAAAGAAGGGTGGCAAGAAAAAAAGAGCCGTTCTGCCATCAATGAGGCGGTGACCCAAGAGTACACCATCAACATTCACAAGCGTATCTACGGGGTGGGCTTCAAGAAATGTGCCCCTCGGGCGCTCAAAGAGATTCATAAACTTGCCATGAAGGAGATGAAAACTCCAGGTGTGTGCACTGATAACAGGCTCAACAAAGCTGTCCCGGACAAAGGAATAAGGAATGTCCCACACCATGTACATGTGCAGTAGCCCAGAAAATGTAATGAGGATGAAGAGTCACCAAATAAGCTCTATACTGTGGTTACCCGTGTAGCTGTTACCACTTTCAGAAACCTACAGACTGGCACTGTGGATGAGAACCCATCACTCATCATCGTAAACATAAAATAAAGTTAAGGTAGGACACGGTGGCTCATGCCTGTAATTCCAGCAGTTTAAGAAGCCAAGGCAGGTGCATCACCTGAGGTCAGGAGTTCGAGACCAGCCTGACCAATATGGATAAACATCATCTCTATTTAAAAAAAAAAAAAAAAAAATTAGCTGTGTGTTGTGGCACATGCCTGTAATCCCAGATTCTTGGGAGGCTGAGGCAGGAGAATCACTTGAACCCGGGAGGCAAAGGTTGCGGTGAGCTGAGATTGTGCCATTGTACTTCAACTTGGGATACGAGAGTGAAACTTTGTCTCAGGAAAAAAAAAAAAAAAAATTGTAAAATTGCCATTAAAAACAAACAAGCAGGCCAGGCGCGGTGGCTCAAGCCTGTAATCTCAGCACTTTGGGAGGCCGAGGCGGGTGGATCACGAGGTCAAGAGATTGAGACCATCCTGGTCAACATGGTGAAACCCCGTCTCTACTAAAAATACAAAAAATTGGCTGGGTATGGTGGTGCGTGCCTATAATCCCAGCTACTCAGGAGGCTGAGGCAGGAGAATTGCCTGAACCCAGGAGGCGGAGGTTGCGGTGAGCCGAGATCACGCCATTGCACTCCAGCCTGGGTAACAAGAGCGAAACTCCATCTCAAAAAAAAAAAAAAAAAAAGAAAAGAAAAGAAAAATTAGAGAACCCTCTATTACATACCTGGGCTAAAGAAACTTCTTTTGCAAGGTTCTGATGCCATTGATTGCCTACATTTAATTCTTCCTTACAGGAAAGTCACAGCAACATTTATAAAATGCAGGTGTGAGTCTGGGCGCAGTGGCTCATGCCTATAACACCAGCACTTTGGGAGGCCGAGGTGGGTAGATCACCTGAGATCAGCAGTTCAACACCAGTCTGACCAACATGGAGAAACCCTGTCTCTACTAAAAACACAAAATTAGCTGGACACGGTGATACAGGTCTATAATCCCAGCTACTCGGGAGGCCAAGGAAGGAGAATTGCTTAAACATGGGAGGAGATTTTGCAGTGAGCCGAGATTGTGCCACTGCACTCCAGCCTGGGCGACAAGAGTGAACTTCGTCTCAAAAAACAAATAAATACATAAAATAAAACGCAGAAGGGTGAACATACAGCTATTGACCTTGAAAAAAGTGAAAGAAGGTCAGTTGCAGAACTAAGACATAAGCAAAATTTTTCAATCAAGAATACACGGGTGGCCGGGCGTGGTGGCTTATGCCTGTAATCCTAGTACTTTGGGAGACTGAGGCAGGCGAATCACCTGAGGTCAGGAGTTGGAGCCCAGCCTTGCCAACATGGTAACATCCCATCTCTACTAAAAATACAAATAATTAGCTGGTCGTGGTATTGCACTCCTTTCCAGCTACTTGGGAGGCTGAGGCAGGAGAATCATTTGAACCCAGGAGATGGAGTATGCAGTGAGTCAGGATAGCAACATTGCACTCCAGCGTACCCAATGTTAGCAAAACTTTCTCTCAAAAAAAAAAAAAAAAAAAAAAAGAGAATACATTGCTCTCCCGTCCTTTTTTTTCTTTTGTGACAGGGTCTCGCTCTGTTGACCAGGCTGAATTGCAGTGGCATAATCTTGGCTCACTGCAGCCCGGACCTCCTGGGCTCAAGTGATCCTCCTGCCTGGGCCTCCAGAGTAGCTGGAATTACAGGTGCGCACCATCACACCCAGTTAATTTTTTTTTTGGTGGGGGCAGAGATGGGGGTCTCACTATGTTGCCCAGCTGGTCTCTCATTCTCTTCTTCTTCCTCTAGCTCTTTTCTTGTCATTTTTTCTGGAATTCTGCTCCTCACTTTGTCCCCCTCTCCTCTCCTGCTGTTTATCTCCTTCTCCCCTCTATTCCTTCTCTTCCGCCTCTTCTGCTCCAGCCTGGCCACTTACTTAACCTCTTGTTGCTTTTTCTCAATGTTTCCATCGTCCTTAATATCCATGTATTTCCGCCTCTTCTCTCATCTCTGCATCTCCTCCGCTCTCCCTGTTAAATTCTCTCTTTCCTGTTATACCCCCGTAGCCTCTCTCTGGCACCCCACATCCCCAGGTGTCCTCCGTGCTGTGCTTCCCTCTGTTCTCACCACCAGCACACTCTGCTCTGTCCGCCCCCGCTCCAAATCCCTCCTCGTCTCCCTCACTCTCCTGAGCCTCCCTCTTTGCTGCCCCATCCTTGCCTTGCTGTCCTTCGTCTCTTTGTATATCATGCTTTTCTCTACATTTCTCCAGTTGCTTTTCTCTCTCTCTCTCTTGCTTTTGCTGTCTCTTGGCAAATCCCTCACGCATTCTCTACTTTGCCATCTGTTATGGGTCTTTCTGATTCTTTTCTCTGTCTCAGGTTTTCTACTGCTCTGTCTCATGATCCCTTTGGCCCACACAACCACAGGAGGGTTTGGAGTAAGTCGCCTACATGCCGGAGAAGCAGAATTCCCAAGGGCTGCAGCTGGGCAGGCAAGAACGCCTCGTGTCCCAGGACAGGCCCCGGGCACCTCCCCAACGCGGGCTCAGGGGAAGCGGTGACTGCGGAGGGGAGACCTGGGGTGCACGAGGAAGGAGGTGGGGGGCGACGGCGCGTTAAGACAAGGGTAGGGTGTGCAGGATCACAGGACGAGGCAGAGGATGCGGCCTCCCCGGGACTGGGGCCACAGCGCTGGGCTTCAAAGAGCGAGGAAGGCGAGGGTGGGAGGTGCCCAGGGCGGGAACCCACCTCTCGCGTGAGGACTGCAAAAAGCGCAGGTCGGGAGAAGTCAGAAAAAGGTTTTGAGCGGAAAAATTACGCGATAAAGTGTTTACATTGCCCTATGGCAGAAAAGACCGGAGAGGGGACCAGCCGCAGGGCAACCTGAAAACCAAAAGGGAGCGACCCCCGGACTCTCGCAGGAATGTCTCAATTTGCACTAGGTGACGGAGGACAGGGTGAGAACTTCCCGGTTTGTGGGGACCCTACTTCCCAAGCGCAGGGACCCGAGACGCGCATACGAGACCGAGGAAAACTCACGCACCGCCGTGTGACCTTCATCCCACGGATCCCCTTCCGGGTCTGCGCGAACCTGCGTGCGCAGTGCTGAAGCCAGGCTGGGCGGGACCCACGAGGAGGCGGGCAGGGGAGGGGCGGGGCGCGAGGCGGAGAGACCTGGCCTTTTAGAGGCTGCAGAGGACGGGCCGTGGTGGGACTTGGGTGTCTTTCCGCCTGGCTCCCAGCGCCTCTGTTTTTTGGGTTTGGACGCGAGATTGGCCAGGAAGGCTGAGGGATGATTCAGAAGCCTTGGAATTGTCTGGAATGGAAATGCAAACTACAATGTGAAATCGAAAGCCCTGCTTGAGCAGAACCTACAATTTCATGTTGACAATCCACAAACAGAATAGAAATCCTCTCCCTATCCATCCTCCATTCACTGCCATTCGGCGTATGCCCTTTCAGGCAGGGACGCTGCCACCTGGGTCTTTGGTTCTTGTCCTGGTCTGTTTTCTCATATACTGCTGCCGCCTTCTAACTGCTCTACGCATTCCTCCCACAACAAACTACTATATAGTTACATAGAAGGATTATATAAATCAGCACTAAATGTGTCAGTACAGCTCTGACTACAATACCTATGATTATAGACAATATTTTTATGATTATATAGAAAGATTATATGGAACTAAGTATTTTAGATATAAGTACTCGCTGTGTTGCCCAAGTTGTAGTGCAGTGACACAGTATTAGCTCACTCCAACCTTGTCCTATCGGCCTCCCAAGTAGCTGGGAACACAGGTCATGTGACTATGCCTAATTTTTTATACTTTTTCTCAGGAGACACGGGATTTCACCGTTAGCCAGCAAGGTCTCGATCTCCTGACTCATGATTTGCCTGCCTCAGCCTCCCAAAGTGCTGGGATTGCAGGCATGAGCCACCGCACCAGGCCTTTTTCTTTTTCTTTTTCAATAAACAGGGTCTCACGCTGTGACCCAGGGAAAAACACAATGGCATTCTTGGCTCATTGCAACCTTCACCTCCCAGGGTCAACTGACTTTTTTGCCTCAGTCTCTTGAGTAGTTAAGATTAGAGGTGCCTGCCATGACACCCAGCTAATTTTTCTATTTTTATTAGAGATGGAGTTTCACCATATTGGACAGGCTCATCTTGAGCTCAGGTGATCCACCCGCCTTGGCTTTCCAAATCTTGGAATTACACGTGTTAGCCCTGCACCAGCCTAGTTTTTGTTTACAGGAAGAAGAAACAGGCCAAGTTGGGGGGCTTGCCCTGGTGATACCAGCACTTTAAGAAGCAGAGGCGGGAGGATCATGAGGTCAAGTACTGAGACAATCCTGGCCAACACAGTGACACCATGTCTCTACTAAAAATAAAAAAACCAGCTGAGCATTGTGGTACACACCTGTAGTCTCAGCTACTCACAAGGCTGATGTACAAGAATTGCTTGAAGCTGGGAGGTAGAGGTTGCAGTTAGCTGAGACCGTACCATTGCACTCCAGTCTGGCAACACAGAGAGACACCATCTCAAGAAAAAAATATATAAAAATACAAAAATTAGCATGGTGTAGCGGCATGCATCTGTAATTCCAGCTATTCAAGAGGCTGAGGCACAAGAATGCTTAACTGCAAGATAACAGATTGCGGTGAAACAAGTTAACAACATTGCACTCCAGCCTGGGTGACAAGAGAAAGATTTCATCACAAAAAAAAAAAAAAAAAAAAAAAAAAAAAAAAGGTGGCATTAACTGCTGACCTCAAGTGGTCTAGCTGCCTTGGCCTCTCAAAGTGCTGGGATTTCAGGTAAATCACCGTGCCCAGCCCATTTTTTTTAAACATAAACACCTTTTATGTCAATTAATGCTCGAACTCAATGTAAGTCAAATCTAACTCAAGTCAATGCAGAATTGACTCCAGTGTCAATTCATGCTTAATGGTTTGCTATACTCATTGCATTTGGAACACTTATATCAAAAAGGAACATTCTGATGTTCTGCAAGGAGTGACTTTGGACTGAAGACCTTGCCACACTATGACATTTGAAAGATTTCTGCCCGGCCGGGCGCGCTGGCTCACACCTGTAATCCAAGCACTTTGGAGGCCAAGTTGGGCGGATGACCTGAGGTCAGGAGTTCAAGACCAGCCTAACCAACAGGGTGAAAGCCTATCTTTAAAAAATAAGTAAATACAGGGCCGGGCGCGGTGGCTCAAGCCTGTAATCCCAGCACTTTGGGAGGCCGAGGCAGGTGGATCACAAGGTCGAGAGATCGGAGACCATCCTGGTCAACATGGTGAAACCCCGTCTCTACTAAAAATACAAAAAATTAGCTGCGCATGGTGGCTCCCGCCTGCAGTCCCAGCTACTCGGGAGGCTGAGGCAGGAGAATTGCCGGAACCCAGGAGGTGCAGGTTGCGGTGAGCCGAGATTGCACCATTGCACTCCAGCCTGGGTAACGAGAGCGAAAGTCCATCTCAAAAAAATAAATAAAATAAAATAAATAAAATAAAAATAAAAAAATAGGCCGGGCGCGGTGGCTCACGCCTATAATCCCAGCACTTTGGGAGGTGGATCACAAGGTCAAGAGATAAAGACCATCCTGTTCAACATGGTGAAATCCCGTCTCTACTAAAAATACGAAAAATCAGCTGGGCATTGTGGCGCATGCCTGTAATCCCAGCTACTCAGGAGGTTAAGGCAGGAGAATTGCCTGAACCCAGGAGGTGGAAGTTGCGGTGAGCTGAGATCGCGCCACTGTACTCCAGCCTGGGTAACAAGAGTGAAACTCCGTCTCAAAAAATAAATAAATAAAAAATAAATAAATAAATAAAATAAAATAAAAAATAAATAGATTTCTCCCGAGTGTGGATTTTCTGATGTCTAATGTGGTGTGAACATGAAGTACAGGCTTTGCCACAATCATCACACTAGAGAGGTTTCCCTCTTGTATGAATTCTCCTGGGGTATGCATGAGATGCAGCTTGACTGAAGATCTTGCCACAATCATTACATTGGTAAGGTTTCCTTCCAGGATGAGTTTGCTGAGGAACTACCAGGTATAAACAATGATGGAACAACTTGTCACATTTATTACGCTTCTAAGATGTCTATCATGGATTCTCTAATAATTTGCAATGGTTGTACTAACTACTGAAAACGTTGTGAGAATCATTACATTGTTTCCCTATACCATGGATCGCTTGATGGTGGATAAGTGTTGACTGCACACCAAAGGCTTTGCCACACTGATTACATTTGTAAGGTTTCTCTCCAGTATGAACTCTCTATAATGTTGTGCAAGCTGTTTGTTAATCACAAAACTTGCCACACTCATTACACTTGTCAGTTTATCTCCAGAATGAATTGCCTTATGAATTACAAGATCTGAATTTCTAGTGAAAATCTTGCTACACTCATTACACTTCTAAGATTTCTCTCCAGTATGAAGTTTACAAAGGACTACAAGACATGACATCTGACTGAAGGTCTTGCCACACTCGTTACATTTCTAAAGATTTTCTGCAATATGAAGTCTACGATGCTTTGTAAGGGATGCCTTTTGAACGAAGGTCTTGCAACAACCATTACCCTTGTAAGGTTTCTCTCCTGTATGAATTCTGCAATGAACTAAAAGGGATGATAACTGACTGAAGGTCCTGCCACACTCATTACACTTGTAAGGTTTCTCTCCAGTATGAAGACTTCGATGGCATTTCAGGGATGACATCTGACTGAAGGTCTTGCTACACTCATTACACTTGTGAGGTTTCTCTCCAGTATGAAGTCTACGATGAACTAAAAAGGATGACGACTGAGGGAAGGTCTTGCTACAGTCATTACACTTGTAAGAAACAAACAAACAAACAAACAACAATTTGAATGTGGTGTCTCATGCCTGTAATCTCAGCACTTTAGGAGGCCAATGAGGCTGCATCACTTCAGCTGTGGCGTTCAAGACCAGCCTGGGCAACATGGTAACAGCCTGTCTCTACCAGGTACACAAGAATTAGCTTGGTGTGGTGGCAGGTGGCTGTGATCCCAGCTACTATGGAGGCTGAAGTGGGAGGATCCCTTCAACCCAGAAGGTTGACGCTGCAGTCAGCTGTGATCCTGTCATCGCTAATAAAAAACAAAAAGAAAGAAAAAGGAAGCAGTTGGTTCCTGGGTCTGGGGGCACTGAATATAAGGCCAGGTAATGTGAACTTTCCAAAACCAGACTGAAAGGAAAAAAAACCATCTTTCTGTTAGGGATAACCTGTCTTGGAAAACCCCCTCCGCGCAGCTGACCAGCCCTACTCTGATTGCTCAGCAGCTGCATTCCTGAACTCCTACCCACGTGCTACAATTAAGCAAAGGGGGAGGACAGAAAACAAATGTTTGTTTCCACACTTGTACATTCCTGTTTCACACATACCTGAAAAATCCTGTTTTTTAAAAAACTGCCACCACAAAAGTCACAGGATGATGTGTTGCAAGTCTGTCACAAGGTAACAAACGATCTCTGTGCCTGTTAAAAGTTGATAGATTCTCTCAGTCCTGAAACTCCCTTACGCCCCTCTCACCCCATGTAAACCCCTCGTTTTGCAAGCTCGGGGCTGCCTCCTGTGATTGTTAGGGGACAGCCCGCAGGTTGGTAAAACTTGCTTGCCTGACTTTGGGTCTACTCTCCTTTCTCTTGGCTAACCTTACACACTCCCCAGCCGGAGTAACCAAGGATCAGAGCCTCCTCTCTCGACAGCTCTCCGCCTTCCACCACGTCTCACATGGAGAGAGAGACTGCCCAGGAGTGGCCAAGGCCAAGCACCGACCCCCACTTCCGCACAAGACACCCATCTGCTGTGGCCTCGGGCCAATTCACCTCAACAAGGGCCAAAGTCCTTCATCCAGAAAAGGGGTAGCCAATGGGGAACTCAAGACTTGCTAACTCCCAGAACTTTGTAAACCGGGCCCCAGGGACTCTCCCTTGGGTCCTCTTGCACCTTAAGTGCTTTCTTGACTAAATCAATTCCTGCTTTTGGCGTCTCGGGCAGGGGTGCGGCGCTTTGCTCCAGCGACCCACCAGAGCTAGGGTGTGAGGTGCCCGGGCGGAGGAGGGGAATCCAGTTCGGAGGTGAAAAAGTTAAACACCTAGAGGCAGGAGGACGGATCAGGAAGAGTTTTCAGCAGGAAAATTCCGCCATAAGAGATGCCTGCACAGCCCCAGTATGGAGAGACTGCAGACCGTACCCGCCTGAGGACGGCTTTTTTTTTTTTTTTTTTTTTTTT